GCAAATAGATTGGAGAAGAGAAAGAATCATGTAGATGAATTAAACATGTGATTTGACCAATTATGCAAGATTATTAGCATTTTATATGAAAAGAAACATATGTTTGAAATCCCATATGTGTTTTTTTGCTCTCTCTTTTCTTTTGCAGATTTTTTTTTCTTTGTTTTAGTTTTAGTTTAATTGGTGTATGTATTTTTTTTTTTTTTTCTACTTCATAAAATAACATAGTAGATGCAATAATACCTCCAAAATCTTTTGTTCATTTTTGAAAAATTCTATGGGTATGCAACGTATCGGAAAAATGTAGCAATGGCAACGAAGAGCTAAAAAACCAACACAAAGTGTGATATTTTGCGATGCAATTGGAGTTTACATTTTTTTTTTTTTTGAGAAAAATTTTATCAATCGAGAAGAGTATTTGGAACACGTTGATGAGTTTGAAGGAAGTTTTTGTTCAATTCCATTTATTTTTCATTATATTTTTTCTTTAATTATATTAGTTTATGTGTTCCATTTTGTTGTAATATATAAGGACACTTGATTTAAATCCAAATATAACTAAACTTAATTATATAACTCTACAACATTTTTGCTTACATTTTTATTTTTTTATTTGAGATCTTCATCGATTTAAATTTGTTTCTTTGCATATATATAGTGAGTATTAAGTAGGTTTTTAAATGATAAGTTTCTCTTTTACAGTAAAAGTCTTCTGCACAAAGGAGCATTTTCAAGTGAATGGATCTCAAACTCCTTAATAAATATATAATGAAAATCAATTGTAGACAGGGTCTTTTGGACCCATTTGGAGAACAAAAACTCAAGGTACATATTTTTTACTTAATTATTATTTAATAATTAATTTCAATTACGTTATTGAATGTCATGTAATTTTTAAACATAATGAATTCAATATGTGAATATTTCAATAAAAGTTTGATTAATCTCTCATAAACAAAATTATTATTCAACTATGTTGTGTTGACATTATAAACACATTACATATTTATAATCAAACTTTTAAAACTTAATTTAAATAAATATATTTCATGTATTTAGACAAAAATCATAGGTGAGAATTTTGTTTTTTTTACTATGATTGTTGAATTTTATATTCACATGTATAACATGTGTCACTGCAGAGAAACATTGAAATCATGCACGTTCTATACTTAAGACCTTATTACAGTATATAAAATGAATGATTATATTATCATATTAGAAAAAGTAAAAATAAAACTAATTAAGATTTTAAAAAGAAAATTGATATTTTTTTTTAGTAGTTTCAGAATACAAAAATTATTGAAATTTATAAATTATAGACACAAAATAAAATTAAAATAAAAATAATTAAGATTTTAAAAAAAAAAATGATACAAATTTTTTTTTTTTATTTAGTAGCTTCAGAATACAAAAATTATTGAAATTTATAGGTTATTAACAGAAAACAAAATTAAGAAATAAAAAGGTGATCCCTTTGAATTTTTTTTTTTTTAATTAAATATCTTTCGAATACAAAACTTGTTAAAATTTATTACCAGTAGACACAAAATAGAGTTAAAATTTGTATAATAAGATATCATAAATGCTTATTTTTTAACTACACAAAATTTAAATTTTGAAAATTTATAGGTGGTATTTAACTCTTATCTAATTTTTTTACATACAACACCTCAATTCTTATTTTTGAGATCTTTTTTTACCAATTTAAAAAAATTATAGGTGATATTTCACTCTTATCCAATTTTTAAACTACTATCCTCTTCTGTTCTTTTATTATCACAGTTATATTAGATTTTATTTTTTTAAGGTTTATCTTATTTTATTTTTGAATTTTTAAATTGCCACTTGATTTCTTTTTTTTGCAATCTTCATTTGATATTTACTGATAGGATTTATTTTATTTTTTCTTTCTATATTCTTATAATATATCTTCAAATTTAAACTTGATTTTTTATTTTTATCTTATATTTACATAATCCACTCTTGTCCTTAAATTTTCAGTTGAGTTATTATTTTTCAAGAATTTATCTAATTTTCTCTTTCTATATTCTTATAATGTATCTTTAATTATAAACTTATTTTCTTATATTTATCTTATATTTATAAAATTTCACTCTTACTCTTTATTTTCAATTGAGTTTTTTCAGCTTGTGCTTCCAGTCATTCTGCCAGCGATGATGCCTGCACAGGGGACAAAGGTTTGTTGTGCTGCGGTTGTCAGCCATATTATTATGAATAATGCTTGGGACTCCCTTTTGGGGGTCACCGCCTCACCCCCCTTTGCCACCACGTGGCGGGTGGTGATTGGAGGAGCAGGAAAAAAAAGAAAAAGAAAAAGAAAATGTAACCAATGAGAGAGAGAGGGGGTCAAAGGGGGTGGGGGAAAAGGGAGGAGGAATCATTGTTGTATTATTATTATCTAGTTTTCCAGCAAAAGTAGAGAGAAAAAGATTCAGGGTCTACTTGAGGCCGTCAACAACCTGCAAGTTTATTTCATTAAGGTTTTCAGAAATTTTGGCAATCAACAAATTCCAAGTAATGTTTTAATTAGTAGAATGCCATTATAACATACTGAAATATAATTATATTTCTGAAGGGTAAAATATTTGATTTAAGGAAAGAACCTGAAGAAAGATGCTGCAACAAATGTTTAAAATAATTTGCCTTCGCCATTTGGATAACATTCTGATTAGAGAATCAGAGATTCTCCAAAAGCTCCCTTGCATCTTTGGCAGCTTGACTCTCATCACTGCTTGACATAGTCACTAAAAGGAGGATGCAACCCTGAACCTTACCAATGCAGTCTTGTACTATCTCACTTTTAGACAGTTCCAACAGTAATGCCACTGCTAACTTCCTTTCTGCAATACGCTGTCCAAGAGAGCGGACAATAGATTCTATTGCATTATCAACGTTTGCAACTCTTTCCTGCATTATGTACTGATTTCACAAAATCAAATCTAAGAACATAAACTAACCTTTCCAGCTACAGATGATCCATATCTATTGAAAGAAAATTGGGTAATTTGAGTGAGTCGAATTCGATGTTTCATGAACTCAGGTATGGGTGTCAGGTGCGAGCATGTGTCTAAGCATTAGATTCATCTAATTAACATACACAAGAACATAGGGCTATGAAAAATGTTTGCATTTCCTACTATGTTCTTAAATTTTTACGGCAAGATGGTGCTTACAAGGTAACAGAGAACATTTAACAGGTCATACGGGAGTTACATGCTTGGTAAAATGGTACACTCGAATTACTAAAAATGCTTTCTGCCTGCTGGGTGAATGTGTTACTACTGCATATCTAATTAAAGAAAAATGGGATTATTTGAGTTAGTTGAACTGACTCGGGTAGTGGTGCCGAGTACAAGTATGTTGTCTTAGCATCAAATTCATCTAGTTGACATATACAAGGACAAGAGGATACGGAAAAACATTAATATTTTTTAATATTCTTCTTTAGTTTTCTAGGGCAAAATGGTGTCAACAACATAACATAGAGCATTTTGTGCATATTATGGAAGTTTTATGCATAAGCACATGGTAAACTTGAATTATTAAACATGTTTGATGGATGAATGTGTCATCACTCCTGTTGGACACCTAGTATTGAGTGTCTAACATGAGTACTTCACACATTTAAAAGAGTCCATGTAGCATAGGTTTAAACAAGATTTTCCCTTTCTTTGGCATAAATTTTAATGGCAAATGCTAAAAAGTGTCCCTAGGGCATTGTTTAATATTGAAATTGTGTAAAAAGTGCTTTGGAAATGATGAAAAGGTTAAAAAAAAAGTTTTGAAATCAATGAAAAATGCTTTGGAAAGTGTCTTGTTTTTTTCATTTGACTTTTTGTTGTACACAAGGGGCACTTGTTAATAAGATCCAATTTAAATTTAGTTATAAAGATTCATTCAACAAATGTTTTTTCATACGAAAGATCCTTTGCATCCAATTCATATATTTATTTGAATATCAAACTTGTAATTATAATAATTAATTTAACACTACAAGAAAAAACACTTTCCGTGACCAACATTTTGGTCGCGAAAAGTACCATATTTGGTCGCTAAAACCTTTTCGCGACCAAAATATGTTGGTCGCGAGTTGGTCGCTAAAAGTGACCATTCGCGACCAACTTTTGTGATCGCGGAAAGTCCAATTCATATTAGCCAAAAGTAAACTTTTAGCGATCAAAGATAAGTTGGTCGCCAAAAGTCAGCGCCTTGACCCAAAAAAAAATAATTCTTTTGTGCTCCCTAGGACTTGAACTCCTGACCAAGGAGTCACCTTATACACCCAATCCATTCTGCCACTCTGCCAATAACATACTTCTTATTCATATTTGGCAAACAATATATATAACCTATAAAAATTGGGTTATATATTATTTTACAAAACTTTTAATGCCTAAATAGAAAAATAGCATGTAATTACTGTAGTATCATTTTTTTTAAAATTTATCCCGCCATAACTTTTCGCGACCAACTTTTTTTTTTGGTCGCCAAAGGGTAATCTTCCGCGACAAAAAAAGCCTCTGATCGCCAATAGTATACTTTCCGCGACCAACTTTTTTTTTTGGTTGCCAAAAGGTGATCTTTCGCGACCAAAAAAGCCTTTAAAATAGCATACTTTCCGCGACCAACTTTTTTTTTTTGTCGCCAAAGGGTAATCTTCCGTGACCAAAAAAGCCTTTGGTCGCCAATAGTATACTTTCCGCGACCAACTTTTTTTTTTGATCGCCAAAGGGTATACTTTCCGTGACCAACTTTTTTTTGGTCGCCAAAAGGTGATCTTCCGCGACTAAAAAAGTCTTTGGTCGCCAATAGTATACTTTCCGCGACCAACTTTTTTTTTGGTCGCCAAAAGGTGATTTTCCGCGACCAAAAAATTGTGGTCGTCAAAAGTTAAATTTTAGTCGCAGAAAGTGGACCTATTTACGACCAAAAAAAATAAGTAGTCACCAAAAGTATTTTTTCTTGTAGTGTAAACTCAACCTTTAACAAGCCTATACAAGATAGCTAGCTGCATTTCATTCTTGTGCAGATACACAGGAAGTCAAATCACAAAGAGATTGGATGTACTTAGTATTTAAGGCTTCAGGCTAGAAAAAAAAAAAGAGAAAAGAAAAACATGCACAAATCGAACACAAATGCACACAGTTAGAATCACAACGAGGAGTACCTTAGCCTCATCACTATCTTTTGCCAGGATGCAGAGGATGACAAGTGCATGGTTCCTTATGTCGCGACTTTTGGCACCAATAAGTTCAATAAGGATGGGTATGTAATTCTCTAATATTACCCATTCTCAGTGTATGTCCCTTTCCTCACAGAGATCCTGCAGCTGTCCCAGGCAATGAAGTACTTCTTCATCCTGTCCCACCAAGAGTTTTGGTTTCATGGAAGCAATGGTGATCATGGTATTTCTATACTTCCACTCTTCAATTGATTGGCGTAAAGTTTTGTTAGGCCGCAAAATTGATGTGCCTAAAGGTATCATGGTCAACGGACACAAATTATTCCCATCAGCAAACCACTTCTCAATGGAACTTCTCTCAAACGTGTGCCCTGAAGAAGTCTCCACTGGATCCACCATAACTTCCCTAGTGATTGGGCAAATAAATGACTGGAGTGGTTCCAATGGTTGAGTACCCAAAGAATTCCGCTTGTTAAAATACTTGATTTCTTTCTCGTAATTTGAGTGGTTCCAGTGGTTCCAAGGTGTACTGAACTACATAATTTGTGTAGGTTTAGAAGGTCACTTCAGGCATATGGTTCTAGATTTCCATATGACCTGTATTCTACAGACCCATCATGACAAATACTCACATAAATTACTAGATTCAAAATGAAAATAGTTAATGAGATGACAATGGCTGAAACATATACAGGTCAAAAGATGCCTTTAATTTGACAAAATGGCTGTGAGAGGGGAAGGCGCTACCGGACTTAAATGATTTCAGGCGAGGACTTAGCTCAGCACGGTTAGGTAATTCCAGTCATGCTGAAGCAGCCTCTAACAATATTTTATCGAGCATGCTTCCTCTACTGTCTAGGTTTCTAGCAACCTTGCCTATAAAAACACCCCAAGTATCAGTATCAATTTCAACACTTGCAGCAGCCATGGAAAGCACCTTGGTAACATCTGCTTCCATACCCAAGTCACAGAGGCCTTCTATCAAAATAGAGTAAGTCGACTTGTTTGGCAAACACCCTTTTTCCAACATCTCCTCTAAAACTCTAATTCCTTCCCTCGGATTACCAACTTTACAAAATCCCTTAATCAACATGTTATACATAAAAGCATTGGGCGCACATCCCTTCTCCACCATGTCATCCCACAACCTCCCTGCCTCGTGCAACTCTCCTCTCACACACGTTCCCGCAATAAGCGTGTTGTAAGTCAATACACTAGGAATTGAACCCCTCTGAAACTCACTAAGCCTCCGTTTGGGAAGTGGGTTGGCTTTTTGGCTTTTTGGCTTTTTTGGCTATTTTAGCCTGGGCTAAAAAGCTTGGTTTGGGAAGGGCTTTTTGATTTTTTTGACTTTTTTTGTGAGAGAAGAGTATAATGATTATGAGATGGATGTGATGTTTTATTTTTTGTGACTAAAATAGCCTATTTTGTCTTTTGTGGCTATTTTAGCCCCAACCCACTTGCCAAACACCACCTAAATAACTTCCTCGCTTCCCAAATTTTCCCCTCCTTACAAAGCCAATGTATAAGAGTGCTCGATATGGCATTATCAGGAGTGCAATTATTCTTCAAGAGATTGTTCCACAAATCACATGCATTTTCAACCTTCCCTTCTTCGCGCAGAGCATCGATCACCCTACAACAAAGTGCTAAGCTTGGTACATATTTCTTCTTTAGCATATCATTGAGCAAATTGAGCGCTTCCACGGGTTTCTTTTCTTTACAATAAGCTTCGATCATGATTCCATAAGTCACGTCATTAGGTTCAACACCATTCTCCTCCATATCATCCATAACCTTCACCGCATCAATCAACCGTCCCTGCTTACAAAACCCATCCATCAAAATCGTATACGTCATGGCATCAGGAACCCAACCTCTGTCAAGAATTTCATCGAACACCTTCTTGGCACTAACCATATCGACCCTCGACACATACCCACGCAAAACAGTCGTGTAAGTCACAACATTCGGTACCATTCCCATGCTGGGCATCTCATCCAAAACCCTAATCGCACTCTCAACCTCATTGTTCTTACACAAACCCTTTATCAGAATGTTACAAGTAAACACATTGGGTATAATACCAAACTTTTTACGACAATTCTTAAACAAAGCATGAACCAACTGGTACTGGTGATTCTGAATCAAAGCATTCAAGAGGGTATTGAGCAATCTTACGGAGGATTGGACGCCAAAATCTTTGATTCGCAAGAAGGTGAAAAGGGCTTGTTTGGGTCGGCTAGCGATGCCGTAGTTTCGAATGACGGTGATGAAGAGGTTTTCGCCGCATTTGATTTGGGATTTGTGAAGTTGATCGAGAAGGGTTTCCATGGGAGAGAAAGCGCGAGCCCGAGCGAGCTTGAGGACGATGGACTGGAAGGTGTCGTAGGTGTGGTGGAAGTTGGGGTGGTAGTTGGAGGCGTGGTGAAAAATTTGGAGGGAGAGATCGAGGTTTTGTTGGCGGGAGATGATGGAGATGAGGCGTTTGGGGGAGAGGTGTTTGGGCCAGGGTTTGATTGGGGGTGTGACTGTGTATGATTTGAGGAGGTGGGTTTTGGATTTCACAGCGGAGAGGTGATAGTGGGATGGGTGGGCGCGGAAGGGGTCGGCGGCGGAAGGGGGGGTGGCCGCGGAGGAGAGAGATCGAGCGGCGGTGGAGATGGTTTTGGTATTCTACAGACCCATCATGACAAATACTCACATAAATTACTAGATTCAAAATGAAAATAGTTAATGAGATGACAATGGCTGAAACATATACAGGTCAAAAGATGCCTTTAATTTGACAAAATGGCTGTGAGAGGGGAAGGCGCTACCGGACTTAAATGATTTCAGGCGAGGACTTAGCTCAGCACGGTTAGGTAATTCCAGTCATGCTGAAGCAGCCTCTAACAATATTTTATCGAGCATGCTTCCTCTACTGTCTAGGTTTCTAGCAACCTTGCCTATAAAAACACCCCAAGTATCAGTATCAATTTCAACACTTGCAGCAGCCATGGAAAGCACCTTGGTAACATATGATTCCATACCCGAGTCACAGAGGCCTTCAATCAAAATAGAGTAAGTCGACTTGTTTGGCAAACACCCCTTTTCCAACATCTCCTCTAAAACTCTAATTCCCTCCCTCGGATTACCAACTTTACAAAATCCCTTAATCAACATGTTATACATAAAAGCATTGGGCGCACATCCCTTCTCCACCATGTCATCCCACAACCTCCCCGCCTCGTGCAACTCTCCTCTCTCACACATTCCCGCAATAAGCGTGTTGTAAGTCAATACACTAGGAATCGAATCCCTCTCAAACTCGCCAAATAACTTCCTCGCTTCCCAAATTTTCCCCTCCTTACAAAGCCAATGTATAAGAGTGCTTGATATGGCATTATCAGGCGTGCAATTGTTCTTCAAGAGCTTCTTCCACAAATCACATGCATTTTCAACCTTCCCTTCTTCGCGCAGAGCATCGATCACCCTACAACAAAGTGCT